CCAGTACCTGAAATCTTTTTTCTTTAAATTCTAGGTATTCTGGATAGATTTGGTACACTGAGACCAACTCATAAAAGTTGTTCTCAACAAAATAGTTTTAAAATCTAGATTTTTCAGGATGCCTTCTGGAGTTTCAAATGTATTCCTCTAAGTAAAATAAAAATAATATAGAAACATTTCATTAATTTTTCTTTCATTTCAGTTGAGGGTAGGTGAGAGATTGTTAAAGGAGAAACAAATCTCTAATAATTTTTAATAATAAATTATACAAACAGCAGTGATTAACTCTTTAGATATAAAAAAGGACACATTACAAGATCACAAAAAAAATTAACAGAGAAAGTCTGACCCCATGTTATGAGAAATCCTTAGTTAAATCCTCAAATGGACCTCCCTAACACTGTACTATATTAGTATTTGTTCTTCTCATGGTGACAGATAGGTCTAATGGGTAATCAAGATATGCCAAGATTAGTACTGTTTGCTAGAAGATGGGCTACGTAACTACATGGATGCAAAGTAAGAACTCTCCTTTACTGTAAACCTCTCACTTAAAAGACCAGTTTAGGAATGCTGCATGTTTGCCTGCTTTGGTACATATAATTCCAGATCAGGGAGAACTGCCCCTCTATGTTTCAAATAAGGCAAAAAATGAAACATATGGTTGGATGACACTACAGACAAAGTAATAAAGTCATTAAATGGTCTAGAGTTCCCCACTGCCACTCTAAAGATTTTATTTTATTTATTTGACAAAGAGATACAGTGAGAGAGGGAACACAAGCAGGGGGAGTGGGAGAGGGAGAAGCAGGCTTCCCGCTGAGCAGGGAGCCCGACGCTGGGCTCGACCCCAGGACTCTGGGATCATGACCTGAGCCGAAGGCAGACACTTAACGACTGAGCCACCCAGGCGTCCCGACCCTGTTGCCACTCTAGAATGCTGTACTAGTATTCTCTACCAGTTCATCAGTAGGTTAAGGAATAAGATACTTTTTGAATCCCATGCTCAATCTGGGCAAACACTCAAAGTGGTACAGAACTATCTGGATATGATTAAAATCACATTTAAAATGGGATAAAGACTTCGTGAAGAAATTTGATTCATCTCTGCCTCTCAACATCCTTAAAGTTCTCTGTCATTGAACTTTATTTTTTAAGTTAAGGCTGGGTCAATCCAGACAGGGGAGTTATTGCTAATTTAGCAGGCCCTAGAATATATAAATTAACACATTTTTAATGTACTGTAATTTTTTAAATGATCTCTAATGTGTTATTCACTTGTCCAAAAGATTAATTACACTAATGAATTTCAGGCACATAACTCCGTTTGAGCTGATCTAGGTTCCCTAAGAGGCTACTGAAGTGCTTGCTTGATGTTCAACCCACGGGCTTTATCTTATTCAAACTCTTTCTTTAGAGCACTTGTCAAAAAACTAAGGAGTCTCACCTACCTTGAGTTCTAAGCTCTTGAAACATTAAAAAAAAAAAATGTTCCCCCATATTAGTTTCTTCAGTTGTGATATCAATGTGACTCAGATGCTTATCGAGTTTAAATAATTTTCCAGAGATCTGGCTGTTCAAATCACCAAATAATATCAAATAAACTAATAGCCCTATTGTGCAAACATGAAACTTGAAAAAATTTGTAAAACACAAAACATATGTTCATGTGATTATAAGGTTAACCCACTTACAAGATACTCCTCATAAAGTATTTTGCAATTCAACAATTCATATTCAAAATTAGTTTCAATACTTCATTACTAAGGTTAAACATGTTAACCACTATAACAACCTCATTACCTACTTCCAAAAAATAAAACCTCTAGGCAAGTTATTACTACACTATTTTTTATATTCCTGCTAAAACCCATATATATTCAGAAATGTATTGTTTATGATAGGCAAAATGTGATTTTTTAAGGCTTCGAATATATCAAGAGAAAAGACACAAATTTATATTTCATGCAATGCTAAGTTACTACCAGAAAATACAATTTAAGCCTAAAACAAAAGAAATCATGGGAATAACCACTAGTTTACTAGAATAGAGAAATGTAGTTTTATTTGAAAACAACAAGATACTACTCAAGTGCAATGAAACATAGTAAAGTAGCTTAACTTCTCAAAGATTCTCTATTTTCCAAAGCTGTTCCCACATCTGGGGTGTGAATATCATTAGTATGCCAATGGATTTATAGACTTTTATCTGATAATTCCATTCATGTGCAGGCAAATCAGATCTATGACTTAACATATATCACTGTTCCCCAGATAAGCATAATTACAGCTTGTGAAGAAATATGACATATGCATCTTATTTGTTGTTCTTGCTCTTAGTTATAAAACCTCAAAATCTTTAGACAAGCACGAACATAAATTATCTGAAGAACTCATCACTAATGAATGTATAAAGTTGGAGATTACAAGAAAAGAGTGGAAGACGGGTACCCAACAACCTGCATACACTTTGCAGGGAGAAATGCAACATCTTAATTAAATTTCAGATAAAATAAGGCCTCAATTGGATGTGAATCTTTTAGCTGAAGTTGTTACCATAGATGAGACACTATGTTTTGTTGAATTGCAAACATTTTTCATTACTGAACTTTTGATGCACCTAGTAAATAACAAATCACAGCAGGGGGTGTAATTGTTTTGAAAATACTGTTGAAAATAGAAAGGAAATTTTCAAACAAGCTGCTAGTATCTCTTAATAGAAATTCAACATCTTGTTAAGATCTGAGCATTAATTATAAGCTGGCTAAAATATAAGAGTGTCCAGGTAGACCTCAGGATAACTCTAGAGAGTCATACAAACGTGATGTTAGCACCAGGTATGTTTGATGTTATAAATCACACATTGTTAAGAGAAAGGCTAGACTATACTACTATTGATTTACAATAAAGGGGCTCAAAGAAGGAACACTGTCAAGGGAAACACCAAGACCTCAGCATTTAGCTCTCTCTAGAGATGGCAGACCAAATTACATAAATGCCACATAATTTTCATTTGTTTGAAGTCTAAGTTCAACAATTCTGTTAAACATTTTAAATAGTTGTGAAGAAATCAATCTATGATGTGGTCATTGTCGTACTAATTTTTCATGGGGTTGAGAACTCAGGTAGTACTCCCACTTTTCAAGTGAGGTTAACAAGATTGTGTAGTGGCTAAAGGATCTAATTTTGGAGTCCCGCAATCTTGGGTTCTAAAACATTAACTGGAAATTTTCCACAATTTACATGTCTAAGGCTCCTTTTTCCTTATCGACAAAATGGAGATGTAAGGATGTTGCCTTCTTGGGAATGTTATGCATTTACAGGAGCTGTAAAGCCCTTAATATGTTGCTTAGTGTGCAGTGAATGGAAAAAAAAAAAATGTTTGATGTCATTATTACTATTGTTCTTGTTGTTGTCAAATGACCCCAAAGGTCCTTCAGCCACTTTGTCACAGAACAAAAACAGTCCAGACATCCTATATTTTGGCCTAGGTTCCTTTTTCCTAACATAGCAAGCTCCCAGCACTTTGTTTACTGGAATCTAAGATAATACATTAACTCAAGATGTTTGCCCATTCCCCCAGTCTATGTTTTAGCTCCATGGATAGAGTGCTCAAGTTAATTTCCGAGGAACATCTGGAAGGAAATGTGAAGAAATTGCAGCAAACCCCAGACACGCTGTGCTGCATCAATCTACATAATTTGAAATGACCCATATTTGCCTTTCATGCTTACAGACCAGAGATTATAGTGACTAGATTACCCAGTACAGGGCAAGAGTGACATGAAAACCCAGAGGGAAATAAGCCTTTCCAGTTGGTTTCAGAGAACACAGTGAACCAGAATTGACTGGACATGAAAATCACTTTTAACAGACAACTAGCAAACAGCCTCAAGAGAAGAGAGAGAAATTTCCCCCATGACATCCCAAGAAAGCACCACAGGACTGTCATAAAAAAGCACTAGCTCCAGGGTCCTTAGTTACACCTACAGAACACAAAGTCTTTGAAGTCAGTTCAAGATTCCAGAATTTGGGGTGCTCAAACACCCACGGACATCACATCCTTGTTACTTTAGCTGCAGCTCAAGCTAAAGCAGACAAACATCATCTACAGAAATACGTGATGCAGACAAGTCTGAACTGTAAGGGGGACAGAGGGAATTGAGCATTTCACAAGGGGCGATACTGTATTGGGCGAGGCAGTTTTCCTCTGACCCCAATTTGCACCCACAATAAAACTTCTCCCTACATGCAAGAAGTCACAAGGTACTCTCACCCTGTGCTCTCTCTTCGAACTCAGTCCCCTGGACCAGGAAGGCAATCAGATCCCAGATCTCGGGACACTGATTGACCCTTAACCTCCCAACTCCACCCTAAGTGTTAAAATTATTCCCCTGGAGGAAAGCTTCCTAGAACACAGTAGCTCCCCACACTGCGCGCAAATCCTGTGCATCCTGAAGATCTTGAAAAGAAACAAAAAGAGGAAAGAAAAAAAAAAAAGACGAAGAAGGGAGAAAATAAAAAGAAAAGACAGTCATGAAGCTGGCCCGCTGTGCTTTCTTATCCCAACAACTTCGCCAGGTTTCCCGAGGAGGGAGTGCCCCCCCCCCCAACACACACACCCAATAGGAGACAGGCCCATCCTCGGTGGCCCAGCCCTCGACTCCAGCCAGAGCCTGGCTGACCCTGTCGCCCCCCCGCCGCTGCTTCCCCTGCCCCCGGTTTCAGTCAGCGGGAGCCCTCAAGCTCTGCGCTCCACACTCCGGCCCCCACATCTACCTCACCTCTCTGCTGGGCGCTGAGCGGAAGAGGCATGGGGGCAGACTGACGGTATGGGGTACACGGGAAAGGGGGACGTCCCGGGTGTGGACCCTGCAAATGCCCATTCCGTGCACCTCATCTCACCTCTCGCGGGGGCACAAGCCCCCCCAGCACCCGTGCCCAGCACCCCAGCCAAGTCCGCCACCCGAACCGAAACACCCCTTTTGCGCTCAACTTACCGTGGCTGGGCTGAGCTTTCGTCGCCCCCAGCAGCTTTTCTCTCCTTCCTCCCGCCGAGCCCTTCATCCTCCTGCTGGCGGCCGCTCGGCGCCCTGGCCCTGGCATCGGGAGGAGCAGGGGCGGCCGCCCGGGCTGGCTGGCCCCGGGGGCGCACAACTGCCCGCCTGCAGCTTCGGTGGTGATAGTCACCGCGAGGCGAGGCGTGAGCGGCTGCCGCGGAGCCTATCCCTGAAGCAAGCGCCACGCGTGTTGTCCTCAGGCGCGGGCTGGAGGCGGCTGTCAGCGTGCCTCCGCTTCCACCGCACCCGGTGGCGCTCCGCACGCGTCCGGAACCCGAGCCAGCCTCAGGTGCATCCAACTGGGGAGAGGTGCAAGCCGGCGCGGAGGGAGGGGCCGGCCCGGGTGTGCCCGGGAAAAGAAGGAAGACTGAGGAGAGAGAAAGAAACCGAGAGGCGAGGAACTAGCTTTGATGTTATGAGTGGATCCTGCGTGTTAAGGGGAAATGCGAGGAAGGGAAATGCGTCCAGAAACTAGAGGTATTACAAATGAGCTCGTTGAGCTGCTTCGGGAGGCTCAGGAAAGGGGCTTTCCTGTTGCGCTTAGGTCCTTTATCCTCCTGGGTTGCTAACAGTTATACCTGAAAACAAACCCACCTCCACCCCTCACTCACCCCCTTCCCTCCCTTTTTTTAACACTGAACCTCCAACCTGAGAGCACATACCAAGTGATAGCGTGAAGATACTACAAATTCACAGGAAAGTCCCACCTCCACAAAACCCCAGTTCTCACCCCTCTTGAGGGACCCAAGTCCTACTGGGATTTTTTTCCCTCACCAGATACCTCTGTCAGTCTCCCTTCTGTTTCTCCCTAACTCCCTCTCTCCTGCCCTCTCTCTCCCTTTCCCCCTCTCCCTCCCCCCAACTACAATACCCTGGGGATGAAGACACAGCCTCTGTTGTCCTTTCTTAGGAGGTAGAAGGATGTTTCTCAAACTTTGTTGTGCACACTGATCATCTAGGGAATCTGGTTAAAGTTCAGATTCTGTTCCAATTGGTCTGGAGTAGGGCCTGAGATTCTCCCCAAGTCTAATGGTGTGGCAGAGGCTGCTGATCCAAGGACCACATTTTAAGTTGCAGAACACAAACAATATAAACTCACTTTCTAATATCAGCTGAGCCACCAACTATTTGCAAGATGATCTGAAATAACAAGTCACTGAGACACTGTCTTTCATGGGGTTTCAGCATGCTATGGAGGCCAAATAACTTAAAAACATGAACAGAGTGCAAAGGTATAAAATGCCCCATATATACAATGCTGTCATTATTGTCATTAATCATTGCTCTTGATAAAATTATTAGGAATGCTAATGTTGATCAAAGTATATAAAGATAACAGTAATTTGCTATATGTTCTCAAGAGAGTTCTAAAAAATAATCAGCAGTGACCACCCCGCAAACACAGGGTCATTTAGAAAGAAAATGCTAAGTAACATCCTCTAAAGCGTAGTCTATTCATCCTCTCAGCCAGTTGTTGACTTTAGCAGATAATGCAGCACTGTTGATGTATTTATTATCAAGTAGTTAAATCACTTTTCAAGCTAATAGATAAAGAAAACCAGGAAGGTAAATGCCAAGAAGAAAGAAATAAAAAGAAATATAGTAAATGCACTAAAAAATATGTTGTTTCAACTTAGCATGACTATGTTAGTTTGGTTTGATCCTCTCTCTCCACATGCTTTCATCTGGATTTAAACACTCATCCTATCATTTTAGTTAACCAAGTGTTAATAAGTCTTTACCATGGTAAAGACTTTGAAAGAACAATTTTACATATACCAATAAACACCGTATTAGGCAGTCTATGGTGCCACAAGAGAATACCAAATACATTAGCACAGAGGGTTTAAAAGGCAGAGAGGTCTGGAGAGACTTCACAGAAGCAAAGTCATTCTGGACCAACCTTTAAATGTGATATGATTCCATCAGGCAGAAGTAAAAAGGAAGGACACTCAAGGTGAAAGAGTACGAGCAGAAATGTATGGGGAGTAGTGGACCCTTGGCCCAAACATACACTGCATGGAAGTAGGTGGAAGAAACAGCTTGAAAGATTGGCAGATGCTATGACTTCTACCCTGAGCGGTTTGTACCTCACTTTAAAAGTATTGAGCAGGGGACCACCATGATCAGAAATACAGCAAGAAGATTTGATAAAACAAGTTAAAGGGCTGAACTAGAAGCAGAAAATAGAGTTGTAGAAAGCACTTAGGAGGCAGTGGAAGCCACAGGTAAGAGATCATAAAGATACAAACAATGATACCAGTTGTGGGAAATGAAATATAAAGATCTTTAAAAGGAGACATAACAGAAATATAGCAACTGTGTGGAAGAGAGAGATTTATTCAAGAGCTCTCTAAGGTTTTATGCCTGGAGTACTAGAAATAGGTGACACTGTTAAGAACTGAGAAGTCAAGAAGGAAACTTACAGTTGGTTGTATTTTTATGCTTATCGGGGAAAGGCTATCAGATAATCAATTTTCTTTGGACATTTTTAGTCAGAGGTGTGGGGGAGATATTCAGATGCAGTTGATTACACAGTTAGGAATAAAAGCCTTGCTTTGAGGAAATAGATTCTGAGTTAGAGCCTGTGTTCAGTTTCATTTTTTTTAGAGCCATGGGCATGTATATGAAGTTAATTGTTGGAGAATGTAAAGTTAGTGAGGTTGAATAGAGAAAGAAACACAAAGTGCTTAGGAGAGAAGCTTAGAACTATGTCTCTTCCCGTTCCTCAGTCCATCAGCATCCATGAACCACAGATAAGAGCACCCCCTGCATAAACAGTTTGGAGGATCGAGATAGTGTACTGTTTTCTCACTTATATTTTTTTGCACTAACTTGACACATAGTAGCCTCTAAAAATGTTCACTGAATTAATAATTGAATAGAAAGAGTAAGAGACACCAGGGCACCTGGGTGGCTCAGTCGTTAAGCGTCTGCCTTCGGCTCAGGTCATGATCCCAGAGTTCTGGGATCAAGTCCCACATCGGGCTCCTTGCTCGGCAGGAAGCCTGCTTCTCCCTCTCCCACTCCCCCTGCTTGTGTTCTTGCTCTCGCTATCTCTCTCTCTGTCAAATAAATAAATTAATTAATTAAAAAAAATTTAAAAAAAAAGAAAGAAAGAGTAAGAGACACCAAATCACAACCAAAAAGATGGGAAGAGATGGCTAAGTGGGCTGTTATTTCAATGTCATGAAAACCAAATTAGGGAAAAGTTTTGTTACAGAAATGGAAATGACAGCAGATAACAAATGGGACAGAGGTATTAAAGGAGAAATATTAAAACCACTGAGGAAGGTTTTAGATTTGTTTTGGAGGAGGATCTAGTTTTACAAATTTAACTGATTACTTTCAAGAATAGTGTTGCACAGACAAGATATCACTATTATGAGTGGCAAAGGAATTAAAGAAGAATCTTAGATTATTCTTTAAAGAAATTTGACAATCAACTGAAGATGCAAGAGAGAGATTGGAGGTAGAGGGCTGATAGCAGGATTGAGGAAGGTTGTTCCTCTGTAGAAAAAAGGAAAGTCCAAACATACTTTGTTGATGAGGTTAAGGGGCCAAATGTGTGGGAAAAAAGTTCCAGGTGAAAGAAAGGGAGAATTGATTGAGCAATATCTGAAGAGAAAAACAGGACTAGTGAACCAAGAGTGTAGGTAATCAATCTTAACAGAGAAAAGGGTCACCTGTTCCTTAGAAGAAAGAACACAGGAATAGAAACAAGATGTACTGAGATTCTAAAGTGAAATGGCAGGATGTAAGAAAGGCTTACATTATCTTACCCCTGGATCTCTAGGAGAACAGAGATGAGGACTTCTACTGAAGAAATAGCATTGTGAGCTAGAAAAAAGTAGAGAATATTTGGAATAAGTTTTGACAGGGATATTACAGTGAATTCATAAGAGATGAGAAGAAAGATCACCAAGTGATCTTACAAGCAAGGTGGGAACCTATCTCAGAGGTAAAACATATATTTATTGTAATGAAGTTAATCAGCATTTTTATTTATTATTCTCCTAGGAAAATTCAAGGACAAAAGTACAGAAACAAAGTATGCAGCATGGCTTACCCGAGTTTAGTAATCAACAAAGTAGAAACTGTAGGACATCCAACAATGAGGGGTTTCATGGAGTAGAACTTGAGAGGAAGGACTCCCAAAGTCTTTCAGACCTGGGGTTGGTTTGCCATGGAATGTGTGAGACCTTGCACAATTTACCTAATCTCTCTGAGTCTTAGTTTCCTCAACTGTAAAACAGGGATAAGGATAAGACTATTTTCCTTTCAGTTTTAGGCCTTTATAATAAAATGAGACAATATTGGTAAAGGAGCGGTTCTCAAACTAGAGCATTCAGCAGAATCACTTCGGGGGCTTGTCAAAACAGATTGCTTAGCCTCCCCGCAAGAGTTAGTGTATTACTAGATCTTAGATGAGTCTCAGAAATTTGAGTTTCTAAAAAGTTTACCAGGGATGTTTCTGGCTTAGAAACCACCCTTTGTAAACCCCTGTTGTAAAGCATTTAATATAATGCTTGGTACATAGTAAGTACTAAAAACACAGTAGTTGGTGTTTGGGGTTGGTGCTCACTTCGGGTATGATAGTTGAATATAGAGTTCAAGATGAAAAGGCGATAAATGAAACACAAAGGTGAATAATGGACAGGGATTATAGGGAAAGACTGATCAAGTTCACAGAAACACAGATTGTATTTAGTGTGGGAAAGATTCAAGATCGAAATCTTGGACATCAATTTATGCTTAGCCCAACACTTTCCAAAATGGCGGTTTATAATAAAATGCCGAGGCCATAACAATTAAATCAGATAATGGAAAGAGAAAACTGGGTCAAGGAAGGACAGCAAAGTTGTCAGCAGTGTGGGTCAACACCAATGCTGTGAATGAACACAGAGCCAGACTCTCGGCCTTGGAATCCACTGAGATGTTACAGAACTGTCATTGTCTGAGATGAAGATTTGTAAATCCCAGTCTCTCATGCTGTAAAAATTGCTCCTACTCCCCAAACTGAGGGAAATCTCACCCCTAGAACTTTGAGTAACTTGGAATTCACGTAGCTTCTTAAAGAGAAAGATTTACTACAAATCAAGACATAGTATTACAACACAATTAATAAAAAGCACTTCTGGGAGGGGTTCAGAAAATGTGCTCTAGATATTTAGCCTTCTAGTGATTCAGCTTTACCAACTTTAGGCCTCCCTATACTGAGCGCCTAGATTTTGTCAAATGCTGCAGTAGGATGATTTTCAACCTAGTAAAATCACTCTTCCAAGATGAGAAAACATGCTCAGAGAGATAAAGTAACTTCCCTGAGATGGTACCTAATAAACTTCAATCTCTCTGATTAGAAAACATATTTAATTTCCACTCTAAAATGTTGTCTCTAAAAAAGCAAAATAGAGTTAATAAATGCTGTCTGTCCATATTCCTTTTGTCTTAGGTTGGGTTCTTC